ACAACTTTCGAGCACACAGTATCATATAAAATACCCTTTCTTAGAACATTTATCGTACACCTACAATGTTTTATTGCGACGTAACCGTAATATTCTACAATTATACACAGGCTAATCTAGCGAGAAGAAATTTTCAGCGAGAAAATGAAAGGCAGGCGGTGCAATCGTAATGATTACATCGCGAGGTAAAAGAGACTGACGAGGTCGAAGATATCATCATCGTCGAGATATCAAGAACCCACTCACGCGCATAAAAACGAAAGCGTGCCTTTGTCCGAGAAATCCTTTTATTTTAAAATTCCTCGCTAGTGTACGCGAGAATACATAAGCTAAGAATACAAACATAATTCCATGCAAAACACACCGATATATCATGTCCCCCAGCAGTTAAACACAGCCAGTGTATTCGGCATCATTTTTATGCTTCTGTGCCTAATGTAGATACTTTGAAAACAAACAATATTTTTAAACCAGATCTGCAAATGTTATAACGATAAATTTTTCCACAATTAATTATAACCCATAATAACTTTTCAAAGATAAAACTGACGGCGATTAATTTTCGAAAATTATTATTTATTTCACAGCTAGATTATGGAAAGAAAATTATGTTAATTCTAATCGAAAGATATTACAGTGTCATATTCAGCACAATGTAACGAGTATCCCGATGGGCATTATATATTCAGGAAACCGGACGTAAGTCGGCGCCTGTTCTCTCTCTCGAATTACGCGACGCATAATTGCATTTGCGCGCGCAGATACCGGTGCCGATAAACGTTCCGGAGCAGCGTCGGCGTGTCGTAACGCTTAACGATTTCATTCATTTCGCACGACGAACGAGCGGCGGAATGAACCTGTTCCCGACAACAACGACGACGACGACGACGACGACGGTGAATCCGATCGGCTGGCCTGACTACGCCCGCGCGCGCCGAGTAGCCGAGCGCTAATGCAAATCCGCGTCGCGCATGGTCGCGTCGCAAACAGCAACGAGAAACGCGATATCTTGACTATACGCGCGGTCCGATAACGTGTGGAACGCCGATTCCGAAGTCGTTTATCATTACGCGCCAGCCCGTAAAGTTCCCTTCGAGCGCGCCGAGATTGATCGCCTCCCGTCTCGGCCGGACTTATTGCCCCCGCCGCTTCTCCATACGTTTTTCGTACAGTACCTTTTTGCCTTTTTTCTTCTCTCATGGAGGTCCATTTCCATAACATTATTCAGACGATCCGTGCTTCGAGCTGAATGCCGAAAACTTGGCGAAAAACAGCAGCGCGCCAATTAAAGCTGAATCACTGAAGAACCGTCAAATCGAAATTGATGAAAAAAATTTTAGAAAATGTCTGCGCGCGATATCCGCGCAAGAGAGACTGGTACGGTCGTTTCATAATTTCTCTTTCTGGGTCATCTCGCGTCTGATTTCAAGAAACTAGCGGCTCGGTTTCGCGCTCGTGATTGCCCTTCGCAAAAATTACACGTTTCTCGATCGCTCTAAGGTTCGTGCTGTCGTCGGAATATCAGAATGTACACACGCACTGAAATCCGAGTTAATCCGATGACGTCTCTCGCCAAACGCATCCCGACAGCGCGTACGGCCGCGGTGTGCAACTGATTTTCCGGCGATGCGATGCGTTGACAGCCGTTCATTAATCGCGACGTTCGCAATGTTGCAATCTGCTGGCCGACATCGCGCGCGAGCGAGAGAGAGAGAGAGAGAGAGAGAGATGTTTCGGTCGTGTTATAGCCGCGTTAACGATGTTAAACCTTTGCAAACCGCGAGCTAGGGCTGCGAGATATGTAAATTCAATGTATTTCTATCTTTCCACCCGGCATTGATTTGTTGTATTAACACGGCGGTCGTGTTACCGCGAATTGCGTATTCTCGTGTATGTATAATGATGAGATAAAGCCGCTTCGACCGTTTCTCAGTTAATCATTTTCTTAATACGTCAACCAGATTTTAACTTCGATGCTTTTGTTTTATCGAATATACGTGTATGTCTTCTTTATTCGTTTTACCATATTTATATATTTTAAGTAACTATGTTCAAATTTTACTTCCACGCAAATGTCTATAATCATCGGAAAATTAAATCATATTATCAGTTCTCAATATATATTCTTCGATCGTGATTTTTGAAGTCTTACTTTATGCGAAACAAAGTGCAGCAAAGGGGCTGCTTATCAACATTCGCGGAGTCCTTCGTCCTTCGATCAAGAGGTACCTCGCATTAACGAGCGTGATAAGTTGCATATCCAGTCGCTGTAGAATGCATCTGCAGGCGCGCGCACGCTCCGCGTTGCACCGAAGCGAACGAGACTGGACGGCGAGGAGCGAGCGCGCCCCGACTGCTTGCTGCCCCCCTTGGAAGAAAATCTTATGAATGAGCGGGTTCCCCATTCACTTTTAACCGGAGACCAGCCGTAACGAGCAGCACGTTATGCCGATGCTGCGATGCTCGCGCAGCACGCAGCAAATCCTCGCGTAACGTTCGCGCAATAGTTCGCCTATAATGTGCATTTGATAAAGTAACCGCAGCAGCGCGAGTACTATTGCTGACCGCGGGATTTTAATCTTGTGCGATGCTAGCGCGTGATAATGTCATATTAATTGATACATATGTTATACACCTAGAATGCTGGTGGAAAGAGAAAGAAAGAAAAAGAAGAGAGAGAGAGAGAGAAAGACGTGGTATATTTAGAATAGAAGGACTATAATAATGTAAAAATAACTCGCACACTATTTTACTTAATTTAGAGATCTATTTTACGTTAAATAAGCGTTCAATCTTAACACAAATATCGATAACATAAAATCTCAATATTTAATCTCAAAACGAAGAGAAATAAAAAATTATTCCCATCATTTTTCAATCGCAGATTTCAGATCAATCCTCATTAGAATTGCCTTTATGTGTACCATACAAATTGTTTCTCTCATGCGAATGGTCGCAAAATAATTCCGAGGCACAAGGTGCAATATCTCGCGTACGCGAAAGATCGATAAGGATCGGGCGAAAGTTCAATGCTGGTCAATGGAATGATCGCAAACATTGCCGTACGCCGTTTATTACGCGCCGATATGCTTTTATATTAGTTATTATCGTGAGAAGCGCATCCCGTTGCGCGCCGCGCAACAGTGCACAGTTCGAGAGACTATCTCACGCGACAAAACGCTTTGTCTCCGTCCACTTATCTCGATCGTCTTCGCTAGTAAGCGTGTACGCCTCCAGCGAGTAATTGCGTCGGCAATTCAATCGCCGCGAAATTATCGCGCCATTACGCGGGCAAATCGTCCCGCGGGCGAATATACTCGTCAATCGCGAACTAACTCGTACATCGTCGTTCTGAAATCGAGGTCTCTTGAAATTTTCAACTTTGTCTCGCTTCCTTTCCGATCTTTACAATTCACTTTAATATGCAATTGATATTATTATATGTGGGAATTAATATATATTAATATAGTTTGAAAATTTTAAAAACTGTATTCGAGAAATACGAGCGGCGAAATAATTATCCCACTTCGCTTTCGTTGTATGCAACACGCGGAATTATCTAATGCAAAGAAAGTCACGCGATTTGTGATTCTAATTGCACTAACAATCACTAATTAACTTACGACAATGCAACATTTCCTTACAATAGTTTAGAATAATGTAGCTTTCTCTGGAAAAGCGATTTTAACGAGTACGTAAGCAAAACATGGGAAACACGGCAGTGTCGAATAAATATTGATCAGTCATCTTAATCATCGCACTATCTTGTGCGATTAATTAATTATATTATCTTATTGTGACAACAATTACTCGTAATTAAAATAATTAACTGATTACGGAGTAAAACTTCCTTGCGATCGCTCGAACAATGAAACTTTCTCTATTAAAGCGCCTCTAACAGGTGATTAAGTAGCCAGAATAGGAAGGTATAATGGTACAAAATTGTATAAAATAAGCTTTTAATTATTGTCAATTACGGCTCTATAACGGGATTAGTATACTATTAATATTATATTTTGTAATACAGTATCATTAAATGTATTCCGTTACATGTATGCGATAAGATTTAATATATTAGTCTCATGATAATTCCAAATAATTGAAATGACGTGTGTCATTAATCTCACACGTTTTACACGTTTCTAAATCATTCGCACGATAATCGTTGCGGATATTACAAGTCTAATATTAACATTGCGTACCATCATTACTTATCAGTGTCGCTGGATAAGCAAACTTGCCAGTGACTCATCTTTGCAATGCAACAGATGCATCGGTTATTTATGTCATGTTGTATTGTTGGTGTTTCATTTTCTCATTTAAACGGCCGAATTTCTTAATTATAGAACGTGTCGCATAAAAATTTTGCACATAGAATTCTATGTCATGAAAATTAAAATTTATAAATTTCTTACATATTCAATCTTTCCGTAGGAATAATTTCACTCAAAAATATGTGATGTGTATGATATAAAAAAAAAACGAAAATGTCAAAATATATGAGAGTTTCGGGATATCAGTTTAGGAAAGCAAAGATAATAACAGATAACAGATAAAGTTCCAAAGGTTTGAGAGATTAAGAGTTCTCAAAGATCTTTCTCAAATATTTTCAACAACGTAAATTTTCAAAACAGTAATTTTTAAATTAAAAAATAAAATAACTGTTATTAATATATATATGACTTGAAATATATATTAATATATATGACTTATCATAATCAGAATCAATATTTACTGAAATGAAAAATGTGTTTATCTCAAATCGTTCATAGCACAAACAAAACCGTTCAACGTACTCTAATCATAAATGCATCTGTTTATTAATTCAAGTCAAGCCTTCAACGTCAAACGAGTGACGTATCTCGATTTCCTTCGATCCGCGGCACGAATCAATCAGTAATATATATCTATCGTATTTGCAAATGAGCGTGGCAAAAAACACGGCTATGATTTCGCATATCCAACGTCTAAACACGCACATAAGACAACCTGGTACTTACGTTTACGTGAATGTCAACAGATCTTCGTCCAGAATCACCACCACCGGATCACCACACCGCGAAGAATCCCGGATCGCGCGCACCGATCCCGCTCTGGTTTCACGGCAGCGCGGCGAATTCCTCGTTCATCGAGCGGAAAATCGAATGTCCGCCGATAGATTTTCCCGGCGACATATGCGATTAGGCGCGCTCGCGCCGGAAAATGTGTTGTCAGGAGGAACGCGCGCGAGGAGCGTCAAGGATCAGCGGATCAGTTTCGGATCCATGCAGACGGAGAGGTCTTTGTCCCGTTTTCTTATCGGTGCGTTTTGACCTTTCGGTGTGTTTTCGTCGCTTGATTCAGAACGTAGTATCGTACAGTGTGTCTCGCGGGGTACGTGTGAACCCCATACTCGCGCTGTCGCGTCCCAATCAGAGACTGAAGCGCCTAGAGACAGGCCGCCCGTATAAATGCCTCGCCGCGCAAGCGGTCGAAGAGCAGCGGGTGGAAAGGGGGATCGATTTCGTCCGCAACGTACCGCGAGGGGTCACTACAGGATTGGTAGCACACACCGACGCGATATTGTCGACACAGCAATTGTAAACATAAACATCGCCGGATCTTTCGTATCTCGTGCGCACCAACATGTTTTCTATTCGATGAAATTTAAATTATTCTTATTACAATTATTTGCAAATTTATATTTGATATTTTGTACATACGACAAAACGATTTCGTAATAAAAATTTTTATTTCTTTGAGAAATCTGCAAATCTGTCAGTTCTTATGATTTTTTAAAATGGTATATAGTACTTATAATGCATTTGAGATTACTTTTTTTTTACTGAAAGTAATTATGTCATTCCCTACCGACAAAAAATTTTCAAATCTTTGTTTTTGTGCAACTGTCGATAAACATTGTCACAATGATTTAATCGACTTTGGATAAATGGATTTTAATTTACTTTGTATAAAAAGATTTATATATATTTTACATAATTTCTAATAAAAAATATGATTATGTGTAAGAAAAAAATCGATAATATCTCAAAAAAAATTGCAATATATTTTTTGCATTTACGCAAATTTATTTTAATCACAATAATGATAAATAATATCTAAAGAGTCAAACTAAAATTTTACACGCAAAATATATATAATATTTATAATTCTAAGTTTTTTGACGCTTTATATATATTGCAAAAGAAATACACTTTACGTAAGCTTCAAATTTGGCATATTAGAATTAAAAATAAATTTTTTTATAATATTCATTACAAATTAAAAATACTTCTATATGCAAAATAAAATTAATTTTGTTTTTTTTTCCGCTTTATGAAGAGTCTACATGTGGGTTTTCGACCAGCAGGTGTTGCATCGGAAGGAAGATAGTTACATGGTGATTGCTATGGAAACCCACGTGTAAAACTTTCTCAAAGCACACAAACTCCAGTGAAATTGGCCATCTATGCGAAGACAAAGCGCTTGTAAGTTTCTAAAACTCTTAGATCTGTTAAAATTACTTCATTCTAATAATTGATCTATTGAGCAATAACTAATATCGAAGCTGCTTGTAATAATGAGTGGAATTATTCGCGACCAAGATAAAAAAGAAAAGCAAATCTTATCGTGTAAGAAGGTGCACTCTGCTGAAAACACGAAAAACAGGAAGGCCCTGTTAAAGTTGATGCAGCAAGAGCATTTGATGGAAAAGAACCTTGCTAACTTGATGGAGAACATGAAACTGGAACCAGAAGTTCTGCGATCCGTTTTGCATAATATGAGTGACATCTCGAAAACCAGGTAGAAAACGAAAAACAAATTCTTGATTTTAAATTGCGTTATGCATATCAAGTTCGCTACGATATATAGCAATTTAGATCGAATATTTTCTTGAAAGGCAAATCTTTGTCGATAACGTGAAGAAATCTTTGGAAGAAATCGCTGAGGAACTACGATCAGCAAAATCCATAACAAATTTTCTCGAAAAAATTCAAAAATTAGGTGAATTTCTACATAATTCTTTATCAATTAATAGTGTTATTTTTATTTGGTAGAATTATCTTTGATACCTTAATTTTTACGTATAATTTTTAATTAATTATGCTGCAATTTCCATGCTAAAAATTTATTTGAAGCTTCAATTTTTGTGCATCTTGCAATTAAAAGAAAAATTATTACCCAAAATGTTTAAAATGTGAATAAATGTTTATTTAGACACAAATGCATACAAGCAGCGACTCGTGAGATTGTCACGAAAAATTCGGGACTTTAAAGAATCCTGCCAATTAGAGACTTTATCGCAAGAGCAAACATCTCTCGAGTCTGAATTACGTGAATTCGAATCAAGTTTGCATAAGTATGAGAGTGCAACCGGTAATATTGGCAAACCGACTTCTGCTGCGTTCTTTAACAAGGAAAATAAAAGATGCCACGATTATAAGGAGATCCATGATTTCCATGCGTTAATTGCTAAAACAGGTATCGTACATGCGTGTTTATTTACGTATAAGTAATTAGAATGTGCTGCAAATTTAATGACATAACGATAAAAATAATATAGTTGTTTATTATATATGTAAATTTTATCAATAATTACTTATATACAGTGTGTTAAAACGCACCTTACAGGTCACACCGATAATTGGAGTGACGAGGATCACCTTTTGTTTCTGAAAATGCGGAAAAAATGTAACAACATCCCTGCTCTGGTGGCCGCTGTTCAAGTCAAGTGTCCAGATTTAACTGCAGAAATCATAGTAAATCACGAAGCGTGGTACAAGGTTTACTTGAGTCTACGTGAAAAGCAACGTTCAAGCGTTAGAGAGTGGCGCAAGCAGAGAGAAATCGAGAAAACAAAGAAAAATTGTGAGAACCAAACCTTGGAAGAAACTTCGAAAGACAAAACGAGTTGCAATCTCACAAAAGAACTTTCGAATCGTATGACAGACGAATGTAAAGGAAGAACAGCGAAGACCGACGATTCCGTTGATATTAATAACGCAAACCAGAAGAAGCAATTAATAAGACGATGGAAAGAGGAGAAAGAGAATAAGCGTTCGATGGATGAAGAGCAGTCGAGGATTCTGATAGAATCGAAACTGGTCGCGCAAGAAAAGCGTAAAAGAGAGAAGCTGAAGAGAATTCAAGAAGCTTTGGCGGAGTATCGTGAGAGAAAATCGATGGAAGTTTCTTCAGAAACTTCGAAAGACGTTTTGAAAGCGGGACCGAAGTACAATCCAGTGTTGATTAAAGCCTTCAGGTAACATTAACTAGCAGTTTTAAACGGAAGACTCATTGTTAAAATAATACATGCGCTAAATAACGTAAAAGAAAACCGTGAGATGTCTAAGCTAATTTTCATCTGCTTATAATTCGAATAAAAATTCGAATAGATTCAATTAAATAATAATCCTAGATAATCATAATTAAAATAATCAATTAATTGAAACATTATAACTTTTATTGGCACTAATAGGAAGCAAGACGAAGAGTATACGAGAAAAAAGAAAAATTTGATAGCAAGATCACGAAGACCGAATAAAAGTCGAACAGTGAAAGCAAGATTGCAAATAACAAAGCGACATTCGACTCTGTTAAATCCGACCAAAGTATGGAAGGAAAGATGCAGAATACATAATCTTAATTCTAGCACGAAGGAAGCGAGAAAACTGCAATATATTAAAGACGTTCCTCGTTTGTACGTTTTATAGGAAAAAATATTTATATATATATTTCTACGTATATCTAATACTTAAATATATTTCAATTTTTCTTTTTTCAGGTATGTCCAATGGAGAAACAGAGAATCAACAGAAATTAAGGATACACTAGCGTCTCTCTGAAGTCAATAAGAATTTGTTTTCAGTCCAAGTCACTTAAAGCTTAATGAGGAAGGAAATAAAAATATATATAAAACATTGATATATACTTATGTTTATTTTTTCTTTACGAACGTACCTTCTTGTTTCTTTCAGACGATGTACATAATAAGTTATGAGTAAACGAGTGTTGAGTTTATCCAGGAGACCGCCGTATCGAATTACTCGGCTTTCGATTATATTAAAAATTGCTCTATCTTCGCTATTTTTCATTTATTTGCAGGAACAAAAACGGAGGGAAGCAAAAGAGAAAGGAAAACGATAGACCATCTCGTCGTCGACGTCGTCTCAGATAACTCCAACCCTCGGCGACTTTACTCAAATATATATAATATACTTTCTATTAATCTTCTGTTCGTTAATTCGATATTCTTTCGTTTAGATTACCAAATACAAAAACATAGGTGATACAATATATATATAATATATATAATGCTATGATACGAGTGTCTCGTATCGCGCCGAATACGATAGCCACTTCGACGGTTCGCCCGCTGTATGTACGTCTAGCTTCCTCTTTTTATTAATTATTACTATTATTAATTACTATATTTGTTTACATGTCGCGGGATAATCCTACGCGGCGCGATACGGCGACACCTCTCATCCTTTTGTGGGAATACTTACGCGCAAAAACCTTAAAACGTACTCTTTCTCTTCGTCTGTCTCTCTTTCAGACAGTATATTTATATATATATATATTTATATTTTATATATATACTTTTGTTTTTATTTATTTATATATGTATACGTAGAAATATAATTATTTAGAATTTATAATGCGTACCGCCTAGAAATTTGTTTATTACAACGAACGATAAATCAATTCAACGCACACTCTCTCACTCACACTCGCTCAATCGACACACGTGCCATTCGATGCAACGGCTGTTGCAATTTTTTTTTATCACTAACTCTCCTTTGAAACCCAGACGATAAATATGTACATGTGTGTGTGAACATTTGTACAGCGGAGTCTCCCTTTCGTCCCCCCCCCCCCCCTGTAACGCATCACTAACATTTTGTTTGCTTATTCAACGATAAAGTCCACGTGTAACTACGCCGCCTTCAAATTTTGCACACTATTCCCCTAATATTTTTTGTTCCATTAATGATAATTTCATTAACCCCTCCCTCTTCTCACTCCTTTTTCCGATATCATTTCGCAACGTGTCTTCTCTTGAATACAAATTTCGGCTCTTAAATGCGAAAGTCGAGATGTCGAAAATTATTTTCGTCAAACAAATTCTCTCTCAAAAAGTCAACGAATAAAGGAATCTCTTACGAGAAAACTTTAAAGTGGAAGATAATCGTAAATTGTGTGGCGATGGAATAAAAATCTGACTCTTCTCTACTGGCAAGCGAAATGAAAAGCTTTCAATAAATCTAATTTTGTGGATTCTCGGCGCGCGGAAAAGCTGTTCTGAAAGGGTTCTGGAGAACGCATGAGTTATTAATAAATTTTATTAGAATCTTTACATTCGTAAATTATTTACAGATATAATTGCATATGTATATATTTATATATATAATAATCGTAACTATCGATTTAGATTTAGGAAAGAGACTTTCTCGAATTTTTCGTGACAATACTGAAGAGGCTGACTTCGGAGAAAACTTTTCTGCTACCAAGGCCGCACGAAACAGCTCCCGTTTGGAACGTTCTTGGCTTTCTTTACGTTTTTCCACGAAGAGAATGCTTCCATTATATAATCCATTATATAAACATATAGTAGAAAAACGTATAAAAATTAGAACACTAACACTGCACGACAGAGCACGATTTAGAAATCGTTTTGATGTAGTTACCAAACGAATCTATTTTTTCCCTTTATAAGCAATCGAATTCAGTTCGAAGTGATTCTTTTTTTAAATCATCGGTTTTAGAAATATTCTTCTTGCGAGCTAAATTTAAAAATGCTAAAGAATCGAGTAATTTCCTACGTTTTCTGTAGGAAAAAACTCGCTCAGCAGTATCTTCCAAATATAAATAATTTGATGAGAGTTCGAATTAATAAATTATTCCTTCCAATAAATTTTCGCAAAGAACAGAACTCATTGGAGAACAGTTCTCGCTTAAACTCTAGCATTGCACGCTATGGGGACGGTACAAATTCGATAACGAGATCTCACGGCTTAAGTTTTGTAACGCGCAAAGTAACTTGTAACATATGTATATATGAGATTAAAAAAATGTTTGATAGTTTCATAAAGATAGCCATAGTATTCGCAATGCAAAGATTATAATAATTTTTGTTACGCAGAAATTCTTGCGACAAAGAAATATTCAACGTTAAAGAACAATTTTCACAATATAAATATTTCCAAAATAATTGTCAAGATTGTTTAACGCTTGCTTGACAAAATTTCACATTCGATATCGCATTTTTCGAAAAAATCAAATATATAAATTACATTATGCGTTTTGCAGTTACGAGAAGTGAAGCTAGTTCCTCCGCGATCAAGCCTCTCACGAAGTAGGAAAATTTTGAGAATCGTGGATAATAAATAAAAATAACAATAATAATAATAAGACAACGGGAAGGAGCGAGACGATCTATAAAACTATTTGGTGTATTATAAAACTAATAATTTATAATGATACTTTAAAGACCATTAAGCAGAATACAAAATTTCGGGTATTATTGTCCACTCAAAATTTCTCGATAAGCGACACTCTTTCTTGCAATTTCGCAAGTTTTTGACGATAAAAAAATTAACAATGAAGAAAAGTGCGAATTGTTATAAGAAGTGAGAGCGAAACATTACGCATGTAAAGTCAAACTTCCAACTCGCTGCGACTGAGAAAATTATTTACAATGAACAATGATTTTGTGCGAAATTTATGCACATTGTTTGCCACAATGTGCGGCGATTATTACGCTAACGCGTTCGCATTTTGCTTTTTCCCCGAATTCGATAGTCGTCGTTCGTAAAAATCTGGTGTGCTTATGCAGTCTTCTATATCGAGTTTCGCGGCATCTCGAATTTGCATCAAAACATGACAAGTCATTTCTTCTTTAATTTTTGTTCTTAAGAGCATCCGATTCGCTTAACAATCGGATTTATAATCTAAGCATCAGAAACGTACGTGGCTCGAATCTGCTAAACAGAATCCGCTATAGATGAGTTTCTTTCTGCAGATGACATGGGTATTAAAATTCTTATCCAAAGAAAATTGATCTAGTTTTGCAAATTTGCAAGAAATAAGTAATTTCCATGTGATTATATTTTATTTGCACGAAGCACTGAAAATTCCCTCACAAAAATGATAACAGAAACGTGACGAGTGCGACAAAGCTTTTTTTTTGAGATAAAATTTCCACGTGCGCTCTTTAAAGCCGACACGCATCCTTAAAGCTAGACGAATGAATTCATACATGTTTTACTGCCAGATTTATTAACGTGATATAGACAACCGTGTACACCTGGGCCTCGATAAAGCGCGAGTTTAATCATAAACCAAGGGTGTGAAAGAACATATCTTCCAAGACTTTACGTTCAATAATAAACTTATCAAATTTGCACGTAGTTTTTCGTAATTGAATATATAAATGCATCACGTTGCCAATGATCGAACAAACGCTCCCTTGAATATAGAAGAATATAATCTTCTTACGGGAAATTGCGAAACTCGCGAAAGAAACTCGCAAATCGCATCTGACAAAATTATTAAAATATTACAAATTCAGCAATATATATAACAATCATATGTAATAGTGAGTTTTCTATTTCTGAATAAAAGAAATGAGACATACGAATGATGAATCCGATAGAAATAAATATTTAACAATAATCTTCAATAATTTTAGAAAAAAATAAAGATATTCATGAAAAATCAATATTCAATAATGCACAACAAAAATCCCCTTGAATGATTTGAATTTTTCTCAGAGACATTCTTGAGAAAAAAGAAGTCAAAATTTAGATAGATAATATGACGAATCAATATTTCACTTGTGTGAAAAAAAAAAAACAAAAGTCGAAAATTCCAATGCGTACTAATGATCACTCATCAACTTTTCCTCTCCACGCATTCTAGAAAACATAAAAATTTTGTATAATCGTTAATTACTGCGCGAGTTCGAGGTGTATGTTAATGAACGCAATTGTCGTTAGCAAATTCCTCGAAGCGACAGGATAAAACTATGGAAGCATTCGTTTGATCGAATCGTTATCTCCGTTTCCAAGCCGAAGAGAGATGCGCGCGCTCAACTAGCGACCTAAGATATGATAAATCACTACTCCTGATACAAAAACTAGTACAATTCGATATCCTGAAGTCCCGACGGACAGGTACTGAATACATCTAAGTGGTGTTCGAGTTTGATTTAATCGGATAACGAGGGAACCTTGGTCCATTTTGCGCTCACATCCCATCCCCGTAAGAAGAACGCGACGACCATTTGCACAATTTTTTTTATCGTACCACGCGTACACATTTCTCTCTCTTTGTGAATTATAAATGTATAAAAAAGATCAATTGCGCCTCGATGAAAAGAAAGTCACGATACAATCTCTTTGCGATTTTTCAAATCACAGCTGTCCTTGAATCGAGTATCGATGACATTTGGGTCTTGAGATACGATAAAAAAAAGAGTTTCTTTCATTTCGTCGTGTTCTTCTCGGGTGCAGCTAACAGCTAACCGCATTAGCGATGGAAACGGAAACGAAAGCGAAGAGTGCGATCCCAAAACTAGATTTATTCATACAAATTGTATAGGAAATAATTATCAACTTTTTTCTCATAGCTTTTCGAATATGTGTTCTACAAATAATTTTTTAATTCAACTATGTTTTCTACAAATATTTAATTTATCTTTTAAAATAATATTGCTTAAAATTACTTTAGTTTCCTTAGTCCTTGGATTTCCAATACTAATGAAATATCCTGGAAACTTATACGAGCTTAAGCGCGCGAATTTTTTTTACAAAATCTTATCTAATTCAATAGATTATTAACAAAATATTTGAGATCGCACTTTTCGAGTACTTCGCAACACATCCTAAGTTTCTTCCGTGCTTCTATCTTACGCGAATAGGAGATCCCGCTTTTCGCTTTCGTCGAAGAGTACGCCACTATCACATTCACTTCTATAAGCTTGTATAAAAAACGATACCTTTGTTCTTTTTTTTTTTTTTTTTGTCATTTTCGTCGTTTTATACACCAAGGACGAGTGAGTGCGTGAAGCAAACTATATTGGGACAACATGAATCCTGAATAAATACTTAATATTACAACAAAATCTTAAGTATTCTTCGTAAATGTCACCGCTATATAGTTTGTAAGAAAATAAGATACTTTACTTGAAGATTTTTTTTATGTACAGATATTACAAACAACGTTTCGTAATGCATAGGCAATGCGTCCTGCTACACCTCTATTATTATACATACTGCAGGGGAGGATCTTGCTCCTCCATCGAGGTTCGATTCGTACCATTTGCCGAATTTCATGGATCTGAATATCTGGTTTCACTTTTAGAAAGTGAGTAATTACCACTTATGTCGATAATACTCGCTCTATCTTTAAATTTCGGAGATATGCTTAAAAGTAAGTTATGAAGTTTTCTAGAATCTTTTAATATAATTATTACCATTATGAATAGAATAATTATTAAACTTTTTTTTTTTCATAAACTAAATTTTTAATATACATTCTCGAAAGTACAAAAAATTCTGAAGTATTTACGTATCAATGAATATATTGCAATTAAATTTTTGATATCATATTCTTAAATTCTGATTAATTTAGATGAATATTTGTCGTTTTTTATAAAATAAAATCTCATTTTATTAGACCATTGTTAGACCACACTTCTAAATTTATCTTTTCTAGCTGTCGTAGTGTCGTGATACGACAATTCATTACCTTTTCCTCTTGTGAAGTTTAGAAAATGTTACTACAAATGTTACTGTATAAATGTATAGCAATCCTATTTTCTGTAGAGCGTACAGAAAATTTTAATTTCGGCAAACTTTAAGGCAAACATAAAAAATTCTACATGATTACAAATCTATCGGCATAAATATATCTAAATTTTATTAAGTTAGCATTATCGAAATAAGCAGTGCTTACTTTTAAAAATTCAGTCTAAAAAAAGAGAAAAATAAAATTAAATCAAAATCGTTCGAATTGTACGTTGCTTTTTAGGTTTCTTTTCTTTCCTTTCCGCGCTAATTGTTTCCTCCGTAAAAAGAAGTTAAACCCACAATCGTACCACGTCGTCGTCGCTATGTGATATTATTTACAAATGAATTTTGTTCGAACGTGATTTATTGTACTTGATCTCTCTCGAAGAACTTGGTTCGCGGTATCTTCTCGGACCACCCACACCTAAGTTCCTTGTCCTACGCGCCGTATCGACGGAGTCATGTAATCTAGTTCTCTTGACGGGGAGAAAGCGGAACAAGCTAATTCGAGCGAACCAAGTTTCCCGAGTCGGTCGCATGAAATATTTTCCGAGCCGATTTTGTTAACACAACGGCCATGGATCGATAAACCTTACAGGCGTCCACCGTTTCGGCTAACAACATGTTAATCCTACCTCAACGTTCGATCGCATTTAAAAATCTGTCTATCATTCCTATCGAAGATATATATATATATATATATCTTTCTCTCTCTTTCGTTCTCTTTCTCTCTCTCTCTCTCTCTTGCTCTCTTTCGCTCATTCATACGCATTCTCACTGTTATAGTCTCTATGTCTCTTCCGGAACGCTACTAGCGAACCGCCTCCAAAGTCGTAGCACAACTTCAAGGGGACAGGAAGGGGTCTGGGAAGAGAGTCATTTCGGGAGGAAAAGGGCCCGTCGCGCTACAACAGCGTCCAGGCATTGTCCACGAACGTCATCGGTCGACCACGCACACACACACACACACATACACACACACACTTGTCACAGACATGTATATGTACATACAGGACGAGATATACCACCGCACTCACACGAGGAAGTCAGGGTCACTGAAGTCCTCGCCCCCGCTGTCGCTGCTGTCGGAGATTCTTCTCCTCTTCTTCTTCTTATGCTTTCTCACCGACTTGTCTGTCTTGTGCGCGCGCTGCTTGCGGTGCGACTCCCTAGCGTCCGGATTGGCGTGTATCGTCAGTTTCGGCACTCGTGGCATTGTCATCGGAGTTGCCGCCGCCGTCGCCGCCGCCGCAGCCGCGGCAGCGGCCATTGGCAGCGAGTTCATTGAATTGTTCGGATGCTCCATCGGAACGGAATTCAGATTCGGTTGCAGCGGTAACTGAAACTGCTGCTGGCCGCCCGCGACAGCCAGAACGGCGCTGTCTCCCGGGACCGCGCCGTCCGCTATCATTCTGCTGCCGACGGCCGCGGGGTGCAGCTGTATCCTCGCTCTTTGCGGATTCTCCGCGCTGTGCTTGCCGCCGGCGCTGGTGTGGGCGGCACCGTGGTCGTTGCCGCCGTCATCGTCCGGTTCCTCAGGATCAAACTTGAGCATCAGTTGCTTGAAGTCCAGATATTCTTTCACGAGCTTCTTCCTGCCGCTCAAGTCCAGCTCCTTCTTCACGTCAGTCGCGCCGTCCCGCAGCCTCTGCAGCGTGGCTTTGGGCTCGAAATGTAGATTGTTCTTGCGATTCACCGCTTTCTCGTAGACTTTCGCTCCTTCCATAGGCGAATATTGACCGATTTTCGCGTCGGAGAAGCCGTAGAGGTCCTTGAGGTGTTGCCGCAGCGTCAATAAAAGTAGAAAGCCTTGACTGGCGGTAATATATTCCCTGAGCAAGGTGGTGTTGTCTGGTAATCTAGCCAGAATAGCTTCTTCGTCCTCCTCGTCGTCTTCTTCATCTTCAATAGCCAACTGATTTGATTTCGGTTGATTATCCGGTGCTGCTGCTGTTGCTGCTGCTGTTGTTGTTGTTGTTGCTGCTGCCGCTGCTGCTGCCGCTGCTGTTGCTGCCGCCGCTGCCGCTGCTGCTACTGCTGCTATTTGCGGTGCGGTTTGTTCGAACATGTGCACCATCTGCCCGGATGGTCCTGACTGCGAGTGTGACTGCGCACCGCCTTCTTTGGGCAGCAGAGCCTCCTTAAAAGATTGTAGCAAATTCGTACCGGACATGGAAATGATGATGTCGATGTGATGGATGATGAAGAGCGGCTCGTCTTGCACTTGATATGTAAAATAGGCGAGATTGTCCGCTAGATACAGCATCTGCGACAGACTGCTCTTGGCGGCCTCGTCGAAGTGCTTGAGAAAGGAGATCACGATCGCACGTCTCTGTTGCTTCGTGCTGCGTAGAATTGTGTAGAGGAAGCCGTTGAGCGCGCCTGGGAATTCGCCGTCCTTCGCCCGCATGCCTCTCACCGTGATATCGTTCTGCAGGATCTTCTGCAACCGATAGCTCAGTTTGATGCCGAACTGCGATTTCATGTGGATGAAGCCGGGATACTTCTTCTCGATGTCCTGCAGCTGCTTGTCCGCGCTGTGACTCACGGCTTTCTCGCAGTCGGTGCTCATGCAGATCAGATAGGGTACAATCTGGACGGGATGCACCAAGCCTTGCGCCAGAATCAGCTGAATAACCTTGAGAGCCGCGCGCCGTACGCTTATATTGGCGTGCAGAAAGGACTCGAGTATCTGCTTGATGTAATGCTGGATAACGGTGCTCGCCATACCGGACGACACGTCACCCATCTCCTTCAGATTCTCCTGCTTCGACATTTTCGCCCACTCCTGGTCCTGTTTGATCATCCGCTTCTCCTCCTCCTGCAAATACACCTCAATATTATTGAGTACCTGAATCCTCATTTGAACCAGCGCGTGTTCCGACGTGAGCAGGTGATGGTAGAGCTCCTGCAGCTCTGGCAGCATCATAAACTCGTAGTGCCGTATGCAAAGAGAACCAATGGCGGACAGAGTGAAGTGCCGGATGTCGTCGTTATCCAGATGAACGAAGTAGCTGAGCGTCTCGAAGACCTGATCCTTGATGTTGTCCGCCAGGCCTTCGATCACCTCCGGATCCATGAAGTTAAAGTGGCGCAGTAATAGACCGACCGTGAAGAGCGCTCGCCGGAAATACGGCCGGTACTTGAGCAGCATCGGATTCGTCGGATCTTTTTCGTAAAACGATTTGTACCACGTCAAGTGTCCGTAATATTTCTTGAAGCAGTCTCGTATCAGCTTGAAGTTTCGCGTGACATTATTGACTATGGAGCCCAGACACGACAAGCAGCTCGCGACCACCGATTTGTCGTGCTGCAGGATCAGCTTCACCGAGTCCTCCTCCAGCTGCGCCAAAAACATTTCACTCGGATGCTCCATCAGAGGCACCACCAGCTCGAGCGTGTGAGCGACGCTGCTGATGATCTGATAATCGCCCTGCGTCTGACACTTGAGACTCAGATAAGGCTGCAGAGTGCTCGCGTGATTGACCAGCAGCCGCGGTCGAATCTTCGCGAACAGATAAAGCGTCGTCAGGCACGCGACTAGCCTTTGCGACGAACCCTTCTTGCCCGGTTTGTCCGAATCCAGATTTGTCTCCTCCAGCCGCAGCACATTCTCGATCAGGCAATCCACGATTTGTTTGCACGCCGTCAGCAACACTCGCGGCGGCTCCGTCTGCATCTTCGTGCTGTCGTCCTTGTCCTCCTTCGGTTTAAACAGACTCACCAAAAGCTGCTCGAACCACTCGAGTCCCATGTCCTTGCTGGCCGCCACCACGTCCGTAATATTTATTACCTTCCTCAGCAACGATTCCGAGTCGAGAGTCGGACGCTCTCTCACCGGTGTGAACCACATATTCTGGAAAACTTCCATGACGAGCTTCCGAATGCCTTCTTCGTCGTTCACCCTCCTTATCATTTTCACGCATATCTCCGGAATTTTGGGGAAGTCCGGGCACTCCATGCAGATGTCCTTGAGAATTTTAATGACGCGCTTTCTCACGCTCACGCCGGTGTCGAGAATTCTCGCCGATAGCATGTCGTAGTACGTATCGATCAATTCAGGTCTGCTCAGTACGAATTTTCCTACCAAATCCACCGCCGCCTCTCGCACGGACGTCGAGTGATCGAGGAACGAATGCTTGACGCCCAACTGCATGTCCACTCTCGCTAGCACGCTCGGATCGGCCTCGACGATCATGGTGAGACACTTCATCGCCTTGGTTCTAATGGCGATCGATGATTCCGTCAATACGTGAAGGATCTGCTTGAGATACTTGTCGAAGCTCTGCGAGAACGGTCTTTTGGACGCGAGATACTGCGAAATCAGTTCCGCCGAGTTGTAATCGATGTACGTCTGAAGGATGTCCGGTTTCGTTCCCGTGCTGCACGGTCTTATTCTGCTGATGATGTACTTCTTCTTCTCCTCGATGATCCGGTAAGCCTCCGAATTCTTCTGCTCGTTATTGTCGTTCTCGTCTGGATCCTGCTCGTCCAACTCGGACTCGGTGTCCTGATCGCTGTTGTGATGGCGGTTCTTCTTCTTCGATCGCTTCTTGTTCACCTTGATCTTGGTCGGGCTGTTTTTCCCCGATTGACCCACCAGAGACTTTTCCAGCGCACAGTCCCGGTACCATTGGGCCAGATAAAAATGACGCGCGTATCCGAGAGCCGAGTCCTTCGTCCCGTTCACGGCCAGATAATCCAAGAGTACCTTCTGCAGAAATACCGTTCTCTCCTCGTCCTCGCTCAGTCCCACGATTTCTTTGTCCTTTATTTGATCGTAATCCGAGTCCTTCTGCTGCTCGAGCTTGATGTCTCGTATAATTTGGTCGATGGTGGACAACTTGCATTGCGAACTGACCGCGTCCTTGCGTAATCTCGCCGCCACCACACCGAGATAGTCGATGGAAGCCACTCGAAGGGACATATCGGAACTTTTGTTGGAAAAGTGTCCTACCAGCAGATTTCCGAGGAGACTCAACAGCAATTCAGCGGCGGGCCACTCGGGTTTATTCACCGTTGCGAGCAAGTCCTGCACGAAATTCTCGAACAACGGTCTGTAATCGATCTCCTCGCCCTTGCTGCCGCACTTGTTGAGGAAAACTGTTAAAAAATTTCCGGCGATTCTGGTGGCAGTTTCGTATCTATTGATAATGAAAACATCGGCGTCGACGTGGCTCGGCTTCTTCTCGTCATCTTCCTTCGACTTGGAATCCGACAGAACCACCACGCATTGAATGAGCTGCAAAACCAACGCGGTTAACATCTGTATGTGATCCTCGGAGTTCAGCCTGTACGTGCGCAGGCTCCTTTTACTGCTGGGTAGTCTCGCTATGGATGCCAGGATGTCATCCAACAACAGTCTCCTGTGCTTCTCGTACTTGGTGAATATTATAGTGACGAGTCTCAATGCGCTCAGTTGAAGATCGCTCACCGACTCGACGAAAAACGGCGCGACGCCCAACGACGACGCGTGAAGAACACTCGTGTCCGTGAGAACCTGTATGTTCAACAACTCGGCCAGCAGACCCACCAGCTCGTGCATCTTGTTGTAAACCTGCAGGATGCTCTTTTCGCGCACCTCCTTCATGTGGCCCCGCTTCTTGCGTCCACTAGAATTAAAAGTGTCAGTCTTGTTCTTACTCTTCGTATCTATCTTGTAAACGGGATCGAAAGAAGGATAGATCGTGTTCTGCAGTTGAAACTTCATAAAAAGAACTATTCGATCGATGACGTCCTCCAAGTAGACAGTCTTCGGCATATTGCTAGAAGTCATGATGTGCAACGCGATCAGCGACGCGTCCACGGCGCGCTGCACTCGCTCCATCGCCAACTGCATCCACAATCGTCCCTCCTCGACGTCGTCGTCCGGATCCACGAGCGGCGACACTCTGGCGCCGTCCCGTATGTTCTTTTCCAGAATATTCAGCAGCCTCACCAATCTGTCCGAGGGTATCGACTCCATAGCGCCTAGGGTTTTCAGTTTCGCTGCTTCCGTACAGAGATCGTGCAGCTGATATTTAGGAATAAGCATTTCCGCAGCCACGTCGCCGTCGTCCTCCATGTCGGCGTTCGCCGTGATGTCCTCGGTGTTCTCGAAAATCGTTTCTATGGTGGAGTTAAATCGCTGGTACGTATTGGTCTCCATTAACTCCTCCACGCTCAATTTGGCTAATACAGGCACTAGCTTCTTTTCAATCTTTCGTATTTTTGGTTTCGTCGGCGTGTACGGCGCGTCACGTTTGTCATCCTCTTCGTCCTCGTCCGTTATCCTTTTCCGCCTGCGCGTCTTGTCATCGCTCTTTCGTCGCTCGGTCCTCTCCTTCTCCCGCTGCACCTGTCGCTCCTTCGCGCGGGCCTTGAAGTACTTGTTGTTCTTGCCGATCTCCTCCTCGCTCTCGGAGTCGGTTTTCGCGTCGTCGCGATTGGAGATACCCATCTTCGCCGCGCGACTCGGCGACTTCTCCGCGAATGCCGCCAGACTCTTCTGCATGAGCGCTTGATCAGCCAGTGATAATCTGTTCAACATGACAACGGGCTCCTTCAGTTTCTCCGCCAGTGTCCCGGCAAGCTTCTTTTCCGAATTGTTATTCTGTTGTACATCCGCTACGCCAACCGCAGTCGGATCCAGGGTGTTAACCATGTCGGTGGCGTGTATGTTCGGATAAGACGTGGTTTGAGCAGTCGGCAATAAATGCACCGCATGATCCACGCCTTGCTTCGTGTCGATGCTCTCTATCGGCAGATCAATATCGGAAAGACCGGACACTGGATCGAGAAGAAACTGCTGATTCTCCTGCACCGCGCTGTCGATGTCCAACGGATTGCTGCCCAATGCGTGATGCACTTGCTGATTCATCATAGGATCGTAAAGATTCTGCTGCATACCCATGCTCGGGTGTTGTTGCTGAAGAGGCATGCTGGTGCGCATGGGAGATGTCATATGCATGTTGTGCTGCGGCGTCATACCAGCCATGTTATGGTGCTGAGGCGTCACATTGCCGAGAGGCGTGAGTGGTGTGCTGGGAGAGCTCATATGAGCCGGCGAGTATATATTCGGTTGGAGAGTTATGTTCGACAGAGGATTTATACAGTTTGCGTCCTCCTGCATATGCTGGGGCGTTGTCATTGTTCTTGTTTGTTCGGTCATAACGTTGCCTCTGGGCGACGGAGAAGGCACGGCGAAGGGTGACATCTGCGAAATGTCTGCGTGATTCTGCGGCGTGATCGGCATCCGCGGATGTTGCGCGTGGGCGATACCGCTGGCTACCGGCGGCGGTAGTACGGATCTGGCTGCCGCGGGATGAGCCGGACTACCCTGGGGCGTTTGCCTGGAGCCTGAAGAACTCGAGTAGGACGGCGAGAAGCGACCATAACTCGCCGGCGACTGATTCGCGTGCAATATAGGTGTACCACCCTGCGTCCAGTTTCTCGGAGAATTGTGCTGGGGTCCTCTGAATACGTGAGGGTTTATCTGCAAGATCGCCTTCAGCAATTCCGGCGTATTCTGCTCGTTTTCTAGCGATTGCTCGGTATTCGCATAATTGTCCTTGAGTTCAATGTGATCCGATGAAGTCTGTGACAGAGACATTATCAATTGCGGCACGAGATTCTCATCGCGAACGCTTAGCAATATCTGGGCTTCTTCCGCTACTCGTGGGTGAAACAGCAGCGACTTGTTAGTCAGAGTTTGCGGCAGCGGAGTCGGTAGGGGCATTTCAGGTAACAAGTCGGTGAGACTCGCAATACCAGCGAGGGTAGTTATTGGCACACTCGGTACAACCCCATTCATTTTGAGTTTGATTCGTTCTGGCATTACAGCCTGGAGAAAAAAAAAAGAAAACCAAAATCAATTTCAGTATTTTTAAACTTTTTTGTCTCGCAAGACAATATAATGTGCTAAGCACTGCACAGACATGCTAAGAATACTTGCTCATGATATAGAGTAAATGTAAATCAACAAAACATGTCTAAATGCACTGTCTTCACAAATGTCTAAATAAATCATCGTTAGAATTTTTCACTACGCATTTCAAGACATATTGACACAAATTTTTCACCTTTGAACAGAATAGTTTCTACTCCTCTTTGAAGGACACTAGCACTAAGGCAAATATCGGGAACTTAACAAAGTCTCTTTTAAGTTCCCATGTTGCAAATAAAAGTCTCAACCAAATTTTGATGAAGCTCGTGGATCTTCCAATAAACGATCCATGTTTATTGACACTTTGGTTTCCTGCAACAAAAATTTGTTGTATATAGTGTATTGCTTTCCAAATATTTCTTTATTTTATAACACATTAAATAAATAATAACTATTTAAAAAAAACCAAATTTAAAATTATTTGTGTAAATAAAAATTTTATAAATATATCACATAAAAAAAAAAGAGAGTAACTAACCTAAAACTGTATGATATGATACATGTCATTTGTAACTTGATATTGTTATTTAAGCTGAAATGCAGATATTAAATGACATAAAAAACATTTCTAAATTATCATACATGTGTAAAAAAATAAAATTATGTTTAATTACTGCAATAATAAATTTATTTTTTCTTAAAAAAAATTTATATATTTAAATATAAAATTAAATAAATTATAAAAAAACATTTTATGTTTAGTTACATTTATATGAAATTCTTACATTTCATTTAATATTAGCACAATTGACATAAATCTTTAAATTGCAAACCTTATCAGTGTATAGTCAAAACATAAACATGGAAAAATTATCTCTTTGAAAAATAAATCATTAAATTCTGATAAAAACCATTTAAATTCACATAAAACAATCATTCTTGGCGGACAGCGATACGATATAATCAGCTGTTACAAACCATATATAATCAAACTAAAATTCCCAGCAACATGTGTTATACTGGAAAAGTAACACAACATCCATCGTCAAAGTCAGCTTTGCTGTCTCCAACACACTAGCCTCAATATTCATCACAATGTAGCACAGCACATCTCTTTACCTTCTCTGCATGAATGTCCACCATCCAACATCATACGTTGTACAACACCATATCCTCAGAGCGACCAGGAAGCTGATACAACAACACAGAGGGGGGGAGGAGGTAGGGACAAAATCCTCCTGTGGACGACGAACGTTGAACTCTAGTGGACAAGCAAGAGAAATCGCCAGGTCACTCGTACGATAAAGTGCCGTCGCCGTTTGGGCGCAGCGCGTAAGAGCGCGACGCGGCTGCAGCGCAACAGCTCCGTGTCACTCGCTTACCCGGACTATTTACGTCGGCGATCGCACCGTCCGCTGTCCGCGGCCGGTTTTGGCGGGAGGCCGGGCGCCGTTTCACGGTTCCGCGTCGTTCGCGGCCGCCGGCGGTTCCTCAGGCACGTCGTAGCGGCTGGCGTGGCGGCCACTCGTCGCGAAATTCACTGTGAGAACACCGTCGTCCGGGGGATACTCGCTCAATTGTCATCCGCGAGCTACCACGGTTGGCCTACTTGGTTGGACGCGTTTCTACGTCGGTCACGACGGGTCGCGGACTCAGCTCGCGATCACGACACTGCCCTCACACGCGTTTCACGCGGCGCCGCGCAAACATCGCCGCGTTACAGGCACTGCGTCGCCTCGTAAATCGTATTTATATTGAGAATGTGAAGAAAACAGACACAAAGGCGTCCATTTTGCTCAGCAGCGAGTTAGCGGAAGTGGCGTAGTGGGATATTGCTCGGGACAGACGCAGGTATCACCGGCGGGGCGCTACGCGGCGTCGCACGACTTGCCTGTTGGGCGAGTTCGCATGAAAACGGCAGCGAGTCAACGATATGGTGCATAAAATTGCACCAATCTGTGATGCAACTCGAGACATGCGCAATATGCTTTTATGCTATCTATAATTGTTGATCAAAAATCGCAAACTATATGTTTAATAATTAATTTCATAATTACATGAGTTATTATTAAATATTTAATTTTTATTTGAGTTTCTAACCTAGTTAAGTGCTTGGAGATGTCAAACTTTTGGATACTGTTTTGAGTCATAGCGCATGTCTAGATGCAATGCATATTAGCAGTATGGTGCATTTTCATGTGTCGAACCATTGTCATTGATAAATTTCCCGTTGTGGCGCTTGATTCGCATCAGTTAGGAATGTGTATAATTACTATTTGATATTGTCGTACACGTGAAACGGACTTAACCTATTGTTGTATTGTTTAATAAAAAGCTTTAGGTAAAAAAAATTAATTACAAACATTATAAATGCATAAAAATATTATTTAAATGAATTTTTATATGAAAGTATCGTGAATATAATGAAAAATGGCTAGTACCGATATTCTTGATAATGTTACATCCACTCTTAATAACATACGATCGTTAAATCAACTAAAAAGGTGAGTAAAATGTAATGAAATTTCACATTGTTTCATCTAATTTACAATAAGAAAAATAATTTCTATTAACATCGTAAGAAACATAATTTCTAAAAAATATAATAAGAACTGCATAAATTTTGTAATTTTGATAAAATTACCAAACAAAAATTTATATTGTGTAAGATACAATCACACTAATTCAACAAATTTTTGAAAAATGTATTCAATTTTGATAACATGGTCTTTTTAAATTGCAGCAGAAAAGCTAAAGTTGATGTGAGAGACCTTACAAAGTGTATATATGATTTTACGAAGGAACAATCTGGCAGAAACACAAATGCGTTACCAGAATTAGTTATCGAAGATTTTGACGAGGAACAAATTTGGCAACAATTGGAACTTCAAAATGAGGATGAAATAATACATTATTTAAATGAGGTCTCAAAAATTACAACTGGTAATAAGAAGCTAACAATTCCATTGAGCTCTATGAAACCTAAACCTATGCAGATTGAAAATGATAATTTAGATCAAGAAGGTGAAGATATGTCTGATGATAAAGAATTACAAGAACAAGACATAGAAACCAAAAGTAATTTAAAGAAAAGGAAACGTGATACAAAAAAGAAATCTATCGTGGATGATAAATTCTTCAAATTGCAAGAATTGGACGAATATTTAACTAAAGAAGAGAAAAAAGAGAAAGAAGGAGAGGATGATGCTAAATCCGATAATGAGTCATTAGATTTATTTAACGATCTTTCTGAGGAAGAAGATGAAAATAATGCTGAAGCAAAATATATAAAGTACACAGACTTTTTTGACACTCCTGAGAGCGAAACTGAACTACATAATGAAAGCAAAAGTTCACATCATGACGACAGTATTAGGGATTCTGAAGAAGGATCAGAAAATGAAGATGAAGAAATAGATAATGATGAAGAAGATGAAGAGGATTATCAGGTCAAGAGAGTAAGATTTAATCTTACCAATGACTCAGATGAAACTGATAGCTTGGAGAATAAAGCAAATCAAAGAAAGGAAGAAAAGAGAGAAAACGAAGAGGAAGACATGGAAGAAGAAGAAGAAGAAGAAGACATGGGATCGAAATCTACCTTAGAAGCTCGTCAGAAAAGGTTGCTGATGAAAATCAAGGAGCTAGAAGAGGAAGCGATTGGCGAGAAACCATGGCAATTGAAGGGCGAAGTGAGTGGTGCAAATCGACCACAGAATTCCTTGCTGGAAGAGTTTGTGGAAGTCGACATAACCAAGAAGCCAGCACCTATTATCACCGAGGAGACCACTATAAAACTAGAAGACATAATCAAGCAGCGGATGAAAGATAAGGCTTGGGACGACGTCGAGAAGAAATTTAAACCAGTCGAGACTCCATTGGAGTACAAAAAGAAATTGATACTAGATCAGGAGAAGAGTAAGGAAAGCTTATCACAAATTTATGAAAAGGAATATCTAAAGCAGAAGCAAGCGTTAGATCCGGAGAACAACGAGAGGAAAGAGAAGGTGCCACAGTTGCACAATGAAATTCGACAAATGACGCGTTCTCTGATGACTAAGTTGGACGCGTTATCTAATTATCATTATACTCCCAAGCAGGTAAAATTTATCATAGTTCAATTTTTATCAAAAATTAATCAATGCTTATATGAATATAATATTTATTGTAGTAAAAAATACTAAAGAAGAAAAGAGCAATGAAATTTATTATTTGTATAATTCTCTACGCTTTTAAAAAACATTTATCATTTGAAAGGCCTTTTCAATGGAATTTGATGTTAATAATAAAATGATTTTTGTTTTAGGCTAAACCTGAGATTAAAATTATTAGCAATGTGCCAGCAATTAATATGGAAGAAGTTGCGCCAGTTGCAACCACTGATGCTACTCTGTTAGCGCCTGAGGAAATCAAAAGTATATCCATTATATTTAATATATTATATATGACTGTTGCGATACAATATTCTTTAACACGTCATCCTGCAATGCTTATTTCTAGTCAAATCGCGTGGTGATCTTACCGGTAAATCGGAAAGAACGAAGACCGACATGAAGCGCGAGAGAAGACGAAAGAAGTTGAGACAACGAGCCAAACAGCAGGCGACAGAGAAGAAAGAGAAACTAAACGCATTAAAACCGGGAATCGCTAAAAAGAACAAAGACAAGAAAGAAAAGGCTGCTTTGCTGAAGAAAGTAACTAAGGATAGAAACGTTACAAAGTTAGATGAAACAACGCAAAAGATCGCAAAATCTTCAACTGCATTCTTCACGCAGTTGCAAGACAAAATCGCAAGTAAAAAGACGAAAACTGGTTATAAAAAGAAAGATAAAAACGTAGTTTCGGCTGTGAAGCTGAAATTGTAAATTTTATATTTGTAGTTTACATTTAAAATTTGTTTAATGTAATTATATAATAAAATTTAAATAAAAAAATTTTGTTACAATATTTCTCATCATGCATTTTGAAGATTCTATGCTTTTGTCATCTTCAAAAATCACAAAGAAACGTAAAAAGCGAGAAATGTTTAAAAAATTACATAACAACGTATACTCGATATAAGATATATATATGTACACTAAAAATATTTTTCTATAGCTTTATTGCATGATATACGTATGCATGTCTAACAGCCTCCGCTCTTTAAATCATATTAATCATTCTGCTATTTTTGTTTCGTGTAGAACTATAATATGTGGGTGGATATTGTGTAAAGGAATATATAACAGTGGATAGAGGATTCGTGAAGTAGCCTCTCTCTTTAATAGAGATGAATTCGTACTTAACATTCGCGCATAAATATTGACGCCTGCATCAGGCTCAATATGGTAGTTATTGTCAAAACGTGATGGTACTACTCTTGTCTTGATGTAGGATGATTAAAAAAAATCATGCATATATGTATAGTTCATATATTAGTGAAAAATGTTCCCAATTCATCATGATATGCTGCAATTTCGTTCGAATGTGCTCATCGAAATTTGCTAAAACACGTACAAACGCGCTAAGTCACACGTGGTTACTTATAAATGCAATTATTCGTATGTGTAACATTATCTATATTTTTTTAAGAATATCTAAAAACGGTGTCTTGCACAAAGAAGCAAAGGTGGATTACATAATTTTTGTACATTGTCAATGTTTCGAACGATTTTCTTTTCGCGTGTCAGTTTATGATTGCACTGTTTATAATTACAAAGATCTAAATTAAAATAATTAAGCTAATCTTAATTATATATAATATCTAACGATAAGCTGGTATTAAAATTACCGTGATTTGTGTAGATTTGATTGAGAAGTTATTTTTTTTTAAAAATACTTTTTCTTATTGTTTAGAGTACACCTCCTTATTTTCGTCCTTTTTTTCTTTGTCGAATACTTATCGAATCGCATGATATTTTAATTAAAATTGTCATGTAAATTAAAATTACATCGTCTGATGTATAATAAGCACAGATTAGACGACATACTTACATATCTTTAGAATATCTGCAATGTGTAGCCGTGATATATTCATATTTTGAAATCATTTATTTACTTCACTTCACTTAGAAAAATTAATGGAAATCGATTTAAATTTAAATCGATCATAAATTCAAAAAATCAATTTCATTAAAATTAATCCAAGTTTATTTCCATCGCAGCGCATCAAAATGCGCTTTTGATGCACTGAAAATAAAACATTTCTTATCATTTACTTGTATCAGTTTTTATTATTTGGCGCTTAGTTTTAAACGATAAATAAATGTAAAATGCTCATATATATTTAACGTTTTGACTCAAACGCCAGATGTGAATAATTCATCTGTGCATATTATAATCGTTTACAATCATTTCGAGCCCTAATCGATCGCTCGTCGTCAAGAAGGTACAGTCGCATCTGATGTCTCAATGGCACTTTCGCAGCGAAACCATGTTCGTCAATTTGGACAACTACTTCGAACAATCGGCGATCGTACGATGTTGCGATCGTACCGGCGACATCTGATACCCACGACAAAACCAAAAAGCTCTCAGTATATACGTATGCATAATATGTAAATAATCCGGCAGACTAGGCTTCTCCTAATCCCAGTGCGATTGTTTTTGCGTAGAGTCTATATATGCGGTGCTAAATCGTTAAATCGCGTATCTCCATTCTCCGAATGATCTTCCGGATGCCGAAGTGAAGGTGCAGATTGCGATGCCCAGATTTAATGTATAGTAGGAAGAAACTAGTCGTCGTTTCTGTCATAAATTATGTTTCTGCTTATTGTAGAACCCCCCCAGGCTCAACCCCCACAATGATACCAAACGACCGGGGAAAAGCCCCGGGGAATTCCTCTAAAGTAGAAGCTGCTTCCCAAAGGCGTGTCGCCTTTCTCGTTGCTACTCAAAGTTGGTGTTGAACATATTCAGCTCCTCGAAGCCGGACGAGCCGCCTTGATCCTGCAGCATCTGCAGCATGTCCGACAGCTCTTGCGGCTGCGTGCCAGGTCCGGTCTGTCCAGGATGCGGCGGTTGTGCCTGCGCAGTTACCTGAGCGCCGGCTTGTCCATCCGGTTGCGCTGTCTGATGCTGTTGACTCTGCCAACCCCACATACCTAGCGACAAGCGTAAAAGGCTCTTTATTATCTGCAATATCGCGCAACGGAATCTAGCGATAAGATAAGATATACGAGTAGCCTACCAGGATTATTAGGCACTGTTGTGACTGCGTGATATTGCTGCGTAGCTGGTGTCCTAGCGCCGCTACTGAGCTGAGTATATGTCGGTCCGCTCGGTGATCTCGACGGACTTAATTGACTGTACTGATAGCCCTCTGTCACAGGTTGCTGTCGAGAGAGGCGTAGCAAAATTTTTAGTCTTTTCCTGTAACTTTTCAAAGATAATGAGAAAAATTAAAGATCTGACTGTACCTGTCTTCCAATCGCCCACGCTTGCGGGGTTGGTGATGTATTAGCCGGCTTCTGAATCCTACTTAACACCGATGAGGACGCACTTTGTTGACCAGGTGATCCGTAAGCTATCGGCGATTGTGTCGTCTCGTAGCTCTGATATACGTTCTGTGTACTGGACGGCCTTGGCTGTTGCGGACCTGAAAATTACGTTCGTGTTCGACACGTCTGGCTGTGCAGCAGCTTGTAACAAAGAGAACATGGTAATGATCTTACTGGCTGTGGCTACGGTTGCCGGATGCTGCATCATATGATGCGCGGAGTACAGCGGGTCCCTAGCAGGATGTCTCTGAAGGGAATAATCCAGACCAGGCTGTCCATACGCGGGCACGGCTTCACTCTCCGTTTGACCGTCGCTACTTGGATGAAATGACCTGATATTAAGACAAGCAAAAGTTTTTCGTGTGAACGAAAAGAATTGAGGAGTAACAAAAGTTTCAGATCGCAATAGAATTTCCATCCTTACTTTGCGTGCGTGTTTGTGCAAACGATATATTCGACGTCCTCGTTAAACGGATTTAAGAACGCGAATGCCGACGTCCTCAGCCACACCCATTCGCGATTCTTGGCTCGAAATCTGTACATCACAGATACGACCTGTCCTTTCAACTTCAATACTGAAAACCGGTAAAAGCGAATGTGAATAATGGCAATGGATGGAAGAATTGGAAAAACGTGATGTAAAGTGAACTACCTTGTTCAAAGCTCTCCCGCATGTGTGTCAAGTCTTCCGGATGGAAGAATTCGTAGCAAGGATGACCTAAGAGTTCCGATGGGGTGTAACCCAAAATTCCACCGACTCTTTGGTCCACGAAGGTAAATTTACCTTCCGCAGAGTGACGTGATATAAATTCTACGAACAAAACACACAGTTTTCATGAGAAAAATTATGACCAATTTTTTTTTTCCTTTTCATACATTAAGATAAATCTTATTTTAATCTGTAGAATAATATTTTGCAATGGAATTGTTAAAGAAAACACAGATGTGCTTACCACTATTGCTATTGGAACCTGCTAAGTCGCTACTATTTGGTGTGCTAGTAACCTGCAATCGCCCAATGGCGACAAGGCAGCAATGCGTGGAGGCATTTTCATCCGTGACCACACCGTCTGGACCAGTTTGAACGCCTCCTCTGTCACCTAGACCCACACCTGGTACACATGGGGGAACAAAATCACCTACAGCGTAAAATCATGAGTCAGTCCATGATTTCCCGTTGATCGGCTTAAAAAAAAAAATGTCTTGCACGCTAACATGAAAAACTTCACTAATGCACATACAAAACAATAATATACCGCGAACAATTCGTGACTTCAATGAAAATCGGAATAGAAAATTCTCGAAAAATAAATTCAACAGTTTTCTCATTTATTCATCTGACTGCTTATTGCGTGTATGTGTTTTTCATCTGTGAATATTTTGATATATTGCGTGTGTACCTTGAAACTTGAGGACTGCGAGAAGATCGATTTATTACTCCTCTTATTGTATTATGCGCGCGCGAAAGAAGCCGCAGTATTTTTTTAATGTAACCGATAAGATTGAATCAACCTTGGCTGTCACAAAGCTATTGGTAAAACAAAAAGAGCTGCGCACGTGGTTATGAATATTAAACAAATATATTAACAACCGGTAGCTACCTCGTAGCGAGTGAAAATGGCGACAACTCTCCATTCAGCGGCAAAACGACTATTTCTGGAGAGAAGTATTTCAATCCGAAAAATGTACAATATGAAAAAAGCGTCTGATAATATACATTCTTTAAACTGATTGATTTGTGTCATTGTTTAAACGTGCAAGTGAATAGCGAAATGTGGAAGGAGTAGTTTTTGAAAAGTTCTTTCGACCCCCGTCAACAGTGAATACCATCGTATTTCTGTAATCCTCGCGACAGAAAGAGTGTGTTTAATCAAAAAAACGCAGAGAGTCGAAAGATTCAGTCGCGACAATTCTCGAGGCGGTTTCCTAATTCACAGTACAACATGTAGCATACGCGTTCCAGGAACGATTCGTTCGTATTCCTCGGGCGCGACGTCTCCCCCGCTTTAAAATAGAAAGCAAGGGGGGCCTGTGTCGCGCCCGAAGACCGTTACCGACCGGTGATCGTGGTGGTGGCGGACATGTCGTCGATGTACGGTCTTGTGTGCGGTTCTCCCGATTCACAATCAGAGATTAGAACCTGTACGAAACTCACCGGTGGGTGGCCAGTTCTTGATGTAACCGGTGCAATGCACCACCGCGTAGTTCTGGCCGTCTCGCGCAGGCGGGCCCAGAGAGTTCCTCTGCTTCATACGATGCAAGCCGTGGGCCGCTGCCATGTCGCCCGTGGTTTGCAGATTGCCGACTTTCATGCGGCATATGAAGCCTCTTCTCGAGCCCATGCACAGCCGCATCGAAGCTGCAAGAAAAAAACGCCGTGAATCTCTATCTGTCCGAGCGCTTACGTTCCGCGAAAGTTAACTTGCGACAGCGAATTGATCTTGAACGACTGTTTTAAATTGGAACGCTGAGAGCCGAGGAAGCGCGAAACAAATAATTCCCGCAAGTTGCGCGGGAAATAATTTATTTTGCCGATAAGCAAAAGCTTTGAATAAATTTTTGCTTCGCGGGAGCAACGGAATGTGCGATCGAATAATTTATTTCTCTCACTTACATTGACCTTCTTTCTTCACCGTTCCGGTCTTCAGGTCCAACACTCGACCGCCGTGCTGCGGCTCTGCTGCGCTAAGCTGCTCCCGCACTTTTTCGGTATCGTCAGGATGCACCTGCGTATAGAGGCTGGTGCCGTACCAGTCGCTCTGCGTGTAGTTCAACACCGGCGCTACCGAGTCGGATACGTAGATAATCCTGCCAGTGTCGCAACTAACGACAAACAAGAAGCCGTCGGCCGCCTCCAGGATTAAGTGTTTCAACTCTTGATCCGTGAGGAAGGACGGCTTGTATGCGTTGTCTGTAGCAGTATTTCCGGTACCTGCAACACATTCCATTTCGCTCTGATAACGTTCGATAAGAAATGAAATGGCAGAGTTTACAAAACACAATAAATATATATTCGAATCAAATTTATTATAACATCACAACGATTTATTGCCAACATTTGTCCCATTTTTAATTCTGCATCCAGCAGCGACTCCTTCGAAACATACGTTCATCTAAACAATTAGATTTAGCAAAAAGATCTTCAAATTGTCAGACGAACATTTTGAAGGGAAATATTCGACGCTACGTTCGGCAAGAAAGACGACTTTTGCAGCGCGATCCAAACTCGTGGAGTGCACTCCGCGAATTTCTAAGCAAGTCGTGTTCCTATCGAATATTGAAATCGAATAACGTCTCTCGACAGCGAAGCTAGTCGTCTTCCGAAGTTGACCTCCGGAAAGACGCGAAGACTGCGGCGCGGTGCCGAGTGCTGTGGTACCAAAAATGAGGACGGGGCACCTCGCCAGCGGAGGTAACTATCGAGGTGCAAGATCGGAATTGCAAAGCGGACGGCGGATCCTAAGAGAGAGAGAAAGAAAGAGAAAGAGAGAGAAAGAGAGAGAGAGAGAAAAGAGAAAGAGAGGCAGAGAAAGAGCGACTCTCTCGCACTGCGATGCGATCTTTACTCCGATATACGGAGAAATTCCGGGAAGAGGTACTTTAACGACTTCCAAACAAGATCTATGGAAGACCCTTGGTGACCTTCGTTACCATTACTTTCCACGTGGTATACGTCCACCGGTCGAACATTACCGCTGTGGTTTCAGCGCCTTCCGCCGGGAGAACCGGTGTGTAGATATAGCGCTCACGATGATTACCGGCGATATTATAAGTTAAAAATATTAGCTCTTTCGCGATTCATCTCTATCGCGATGTCTGTTAACAATTTTAAGTGCTTAAATATCATCATGTGCAAATTTCTAGAAGCCAAAAATCATTCAGACGATATATAAATGTCTCTTAAATGTCTCCATAAAATGTCTCCAAATGCATAATCAAAAGAATATCTAAAATTCGAGTGAATTTTTTCCCTCGATAAGCGCGAATATTTGTGTGACAAATAATAAGCTCGGATCGAATCGACGCTCGAATCGATACATATACCATTTGATGCGTTCTAAATTTTTAGTATGCAATACAGCACGCACGCTAGTCGTTTAATTGCCATTCCTATGCATTCTAACGCACTACGATCTAGCAACGCTTGACTTGGTGGCAACGGAAGATTCCCGCCGTAAATGCCTTCGCTATCGAAGCTATACAACGTCATCGAGTGGAGTGCTAATTTTGGCGCTTATAGCGAAACGGCAATTTCCTGGTTTCTCAGCGCGTTCATTACGGCGCGGGAAGCGTCGCCTTTGCGCATTCAACACCGATGACTGAAACTATTCCTTATCGAGTCTGAGCATCGGCGGGAGATCGCGCGCCGGCACCGCGCGCGGACATAAAAAAAATACCGTCGTTCTCGCGACAGAACGGCGTCGTTTCTCCTATCGACGTTCGCCGTACGGTTCTTCAGCCTCCTAGCAATTTTTATCGCCGGCGTTCCGGGGTCGTAAAAAATCCGCCGGTGCACTCGGCTACTGGCGTACGTACGTCTCGTTGCGACCGCATAATACTCTTCCACATAGCGCACGCACGGGGTATTCGCGCGCGTAAACGAGCGCGTCCTCTCTTTCTCTCTCTCTCCGCAGGTGAGAGACGAGAGAGCGAGAGCGAGAGAGAAAGAAAGAGAGAAAGAGAGAAAGAGAGAGAGAAAGATCCTCCTCTCCTCCGACGAACGAGAGAGCGATTTGTATGCAGCGGCTCTCGTCGTCGGGAAAGAGGAGAAGCGGCTATAAACAACGCGACGCACCACCAATACCTAGGTGGAATCACGGTAGAGACTGGCGCACGCATATACACGCTCACGCACAATACGCAGCACGCGTCCATCGGCCGCAGGCTCGCTCGGGCTCAGGTAGATAGGTAGGTATCCGGCAGAACTACCAAAGGGACAGCCGCCGACGAACGCGACGCACAACTCCGCCCATCGTGCTGCACCGGAAGCATATATCGCGCCCACTGCATTCGATATGACCAGCCACCGGCTCTCGAAACCCGCCGCGACATTACGCTCGTTCCGGCGCATCCCCCTCGCTTCCCCCCTCCCCCCGCGCTTTTACCCCCCTTTCGTCCGGTCGAATCTCTCCGTTAATCAGTCGTACGAATGTTCCCCTGAATTTGCGATTCCGTCCCGCAAATTTCAACCGTCGTCGCCTTTCTTCATAATTTTTCCGCCTCGCGTGCAAAAATATTTAAATTTCTTTTTTTAAACTCTTTACGATTTTTGATAAAACTGCGACATTAATTTCCTTCTTTCGGCGCGTTCAAAAATTATTCCAAGTTTTAGTTTTTAATTTATTCTAATTTTTTTAATAAAAATTTTATTATTCGTAGAATGATATTATACTAATTAAGCACTTTTCCTAGAAATTTCTAAAAAATTAATATTCTTATATATTAAAATTATGGTTCTCTTAACAGATTAGAGACCAAAGAGATACATAAGCCTAATAGCTGCAGGTGCTCGAAGAGCGACGCGAATCTTGCGAAACGTCTTCGTGCGATATCGATCTGTTTCGCCTTCGACCCAACAAGGAAGTCGCGCGACTGCCGGCGGTGTAAGTATCCTAAAAGCGCTCGTAAATTCTCGCCTCTGTCGAGACGGAAATCTTGCCGCGTTCTCGCGCATCGACCCACGGGGACTCTCGGCCGAGTATTTTCGCGTAATCAATAGTCGCAGGTAACGTGAAGTAACGTACGACGGCTCGACTACGGTCGTAATTTAATCGCCTTCATGTTAAGGCTCCGAGATCTCGCGTTGCGCCCAAGTTATTGCGCCGCTCGTGCCGGATAACTCAAACATCGCTGCAACTTAATCGTCACGTCCCGAGTCGAAAACTGTATCGCTCCTTATCGATAGCATTCGAGGGAATGATCGAGCGAAGGAGGGAGGCAAAAATTTATCGCGCCCAAAGAAAGTGGGATTGTAAATAAAATATTACCAAAAAAATATAACTGAATAAAAATAGATAATAAAAAAACTCATAAAATATAAAGTAGTTATTTATTATTATTGAAAAATAAATCTATACGCCAGTTAAGCGAAGTTGAACTCGGGAAAATATGACGGAAGAATAATCTATTAGAAGAAAAAGAAAAAGGTAGAGAAACTTTTCGCCGGCATTCGCCAACTTTGTGGCGCATGTAAGTTCGTGCACTCAAGACTTAAATTCAAGTGGCTTATGGCTCTTATGAGTGGCTCGTAAGTTATCGATGTTCGAGATTTTTTCATCTCTCTATGAAAGACTCGCCAAAGAAGTTTTCTACGAATAATCGGGTGGCTCTTCAACGTCTTGCCGTCGTATTTTTCACGGCATTTCCACACCAAAATTTTTTATCATATCCCTATCATATCATATCATAACTTTTCAGCGTATCAACGTTTGCGACTAATTTTTTTTTAAACTCGACATCGATTTTTCCTTTATATAATCATTCAATTATCCCAATTTTGTTCTCAATAATGGACGTTAAACGCTTTAGAAAATCTTTGAATAAAATTCTGCCAAAATAAAGTCCACTTAAAGTTATCCGAGAAAGAAATTCAGCAAATGAATCGAGTCGTTGAATTTGAGATTTCTTAAAAGACGAAATAAATTAGTCTTATTGAAAAGACTTAATTAGAGATTCTTTGAACTCGTCGGAAAGCGTGAAGTTTCCGAAGGAACAACGAGCAAACGGATTGTATCGTACACTCAAAAAATGATCTTGCAATAATAGCTAAAATTTTCTAGGTGTAAAAAATTAACTAAAACAGATAAATGATTAGTAACTGTTGTGATATTGCATATGTAATTACTTAATCAGTTTAGATGACAGAAACAGAATATATATTTGTATTGTTTGTGAACTTTAAAAAGAAAGTTTCTCTAAAGCGCCTATCTATATAAGATCAATCACGTGTTAGATCATGCAATAAATAACATTTAGCAATGGTACCTAAATTTTTCAGAAGCTATTGCTAGAACATTACTGCTATAAATTCTATATGTGAC